ATTCATTGCTATCATGATCATTATTTTCTTATTGCTGTTATTATTAGGGACCTATCATTATCATTTTTATTATCATTGTTATTATTGTTATTATTATTTATTATTATCATTATTATTAGTAGTTGTTGTATCATTATTATTATTATTATTATTATTATTATTATTATTATTATTATTATTATTATTATTATTATTATTATTATTATTATTATTATATTATATTATTACTATTATTATCATTATTATTCTATCATTATTATTATTATAATTATTATCATTGCTATTATTATTACTATTATTATTATTATTATTATCATTATTATTTTTATTATCATTATTATCATTATTATTATCATTATTATTATTATTATTAGCATTAGTAATAGTAGTTGTAGCATTAGTATTACTATTTCTATTATGATTATTATGATTATCATCATTATTATCATTACTATCATTACTACTCCTACTACTACAACAGTCATCACTACTAGTATCATTATCATCATTATCTTTTTTTATGTCATTTTCATTGTTAGCATTGTTGTTTTTATCATCATTATTATTGTTATCACTACTAGCATTGCTATCATTATCAATATCGATAATTGTTATTATTTATTATTATTATTTATTATTATTTATTATTATTATTATTATTATTATTATTATTATTACTATTATCATTATTACTATTGTTATTATCATTATTATTATTATTATCATCATCTTCATCATCATCATTATTATCCTCATTATCATCATTATTATCATGGCATATATATATACATTATTATTGCTGTTGTTATTATTTATTATCATCATCATTATTATTATTGTTATAATTATTATTATTAAAATCATTATTGTAAGTATTATCATAATCATCAATATCATTAATGTCATTATTAATATTATTATATTATATTATTATTATTTATTATTATTATTATTATTATTATTATTATTATTATTATTATTATTATTATTATTATTATTATTATTATTATTATTATTATTATTATTATTATTATCATTATCATCATTGTTCTTGCTATTATTATCATTACTATTAACATTTTCAACATCATCATATCCGTCATTATTATTACTTTTATCTTTCATAATATCATTTCATTTCTGTCACAGTGTTTTTACTTGGTCACTATTTTTCAGTGTCGTAATTATCATTAATAATATCATAATCATTATTGTTTATCCCTATTGTTGCTGTTATTACTGTTATCATCATTATCATCCTCATAACTGTTAGCATTTTCATTAATGTTTTGATTATAAGCATCTTCATTTTCATCATTATTCATATTATCATACGGCAGGAACAAGAAAATAACAGTTGTTATTGCCACTATTATTGATGTCATATAATCATCATCATTCTTATTTTCATTATCATCATAATAATTGTTTTTATCATCATAATCATTGTTATCACTATAATTTTCATTATCATCATTATTATCATCATTATTACCATTATCATAATTGCTGTCATTTCTATCATTGTCATTACTAGAATTTTAATAGTAGTATATTAGTATATTATTTTTTGTCATTGTCATTATCATTACTATTATGTACACCACTGTTGTAGATTAATTTTGTCATTATCTTATCTACTATCTTCACCATTATTAGTTTTTTGTTTTTTTTTTGTCTCTTTGTCAAATACAATATCTTATTTTCATTAGCTTCATCGTTATCCACTATTATCTCTACTAATGTAATTATCATCATCCTTGCTTATCTCAACGGTATCGTAACCCTTATCGCCGCCGCCCGCTGACCTTATCGCCCCGCAGACGGAAGCTGTGACGTCAGCACCAAGGTCGGAAAGGGAGAGGTGGTCGCCGTCGAGTCTCGCGCCACCAGCGAGGCAGTCGATTGCAAACACAAGATTCGGGTGGGTTCGCTTGGCCGTCGTCTGGTTTCGTCGTTTGTGATTTGTGTTTATGTTTTGCTTTTGTTTGTGTGTGTGAGTGTGTGTGTGTGTGTGTGTGTCTCGGTGTAGTGTGTGTGTCGTGTGTGTGTGTGTGTGTGTCGTGGGTGTGTGTGTGTGTGTGTGTGGTGTCGGTGTCGTGTGTGTCGGTGTGTGTGTGTCGTGTGTGTCGGTGAGGTGGGTGTATATGTGTGGGTTTCTTTTCGGAGGGTTTTGATTCAATTTGTATTTCTAGTTAAGTTCCACGTGTCTCTTCTGTGTAATTCGTTATCGCAAAATGAAAAAAAACATATCATGTGTTTATGTAATTAGCAAGCTTTTGTTTTATAATTTCTGTCTTACTATTGTTTAAGTTGCATCTATATTCTTGTTTCCATATTAGTTCTCCTGTTTCTGGACTTTTTCCTGTTCGTCACTGTTATTTTATTCGACTTACACCTGATCTCAGCTTTATTTAACACGAACTGTACGACCATGTTCATTGTGCTTTTTTATATCAATTTTGATTGGTTTATAGCCAAGCAACTACCAACAATAAATCAACATGTCAAAAATAAATCGACATGTTAATTCCCCGAAATTCATCCTCATAAACTGACTCACTCTCGCCCTTCCTCAGGCAAGCAAAGGCGCCACGCTGAAGATGACTTGCCCGAGATTCAGCCTGAGTCCAAGCCGGTGCAAAGAGGAGAAGGTCGTCATCAAGGAGATCGGAAAGTCAGTCTCATTACATATACAAATGAACACGATATATATATATATATATATATATATATATATATATATATATATATATATATATATATATATATATATATATATGTATGTGTGTGTGTGTGTGTGTGTGTGTGTGTGTGTGTGTGTGTATACATATGTGTGTTCATTATATATATATATATGTGTGTGTGTGTGTGTGTGTGTGTGCATATATATATATATTATATTATATATATATATATATATATATATATTATATATATATATATATAATATATATATATATATATATATATATATTATATATATATTATATAAATGTATGCATGTGTTTTGTGTGCGTATGTATGCATGCTAGTTTGTTTGTTGTTTTCTATGTGTATGCATGAATACGTGCGTACGTTTAGCGTGTATATATATATATATATATATATATATATATATATATATATATATATATATATATATATATATATATATATATATATATATGTACATACATATACATACATACATGCATGCATAAATATTCATATTCATATTCATATACACATGCATATGACATGTATATGTCTCAACCAATAAAATATTGTCAACCTAAACCAGATCCTCCATTTCAGAGGCAATTTCAAAAAGAAATACTGTAAGGGTAAAATTCCTGGCGAAGAAGTGAGCGATGCGGGCCTTGAGGCGGTGACCCTCCTGCACCGGAGGGCGAAGCTGAAGGGCAAGCAGTGCGCCGTTGGGTTCCTGTGCCTGTTCTCGACGTCTGAGAGTGAGCGCGGACTTGGAGGAGGGTCTGGCTTCCTGCGTCAAGAGGGGGAGGAGGGGGAGGGAGGGGCAGAGGAGGAGGGGTTATATCGCTCATGCTCTCACTCTCTCTCTTCTCTCTCTCTCTCTCCTCTCTCCCTCTCTCTCTCTCCCCCTCCCTCTCATTCTCTCTCTCTCAACCTCCCTCTCATTCTCTCTCTCTCTCTCTCTCTCTCTCTCTCTCTCTCTCTCTCTCTCTCTCTCTCTCTCTCTCTCCTCTCTCTCTCTCTCTCTCTCTCTCTCTCTCCCTCTTTCTCTCACTCTCACGCACACACATACAAAGTTGATATTAGTGTTGCAGTAGTACTGATAATAGTGTGGACGGTGATAGTCGTAATATTAACAGCAGCGACAATTGTAATAGTGATATCAATAATACCTATGATGATAGTAATAATACGTAAAATAATAATAATAGTTATGCAGGAACTCTATTCCAGCCAAAATAAATCATTATGTAACTAAAACAACAGCCACGGATTCCCTAAGAACCGCTCCTCTTCCCTCCGCAGTTTCTAGCAAAGTGAGCGAATGTCGAGGGAAATACAAGCTTCAAGAAGGAGAGTCGATGATCGTGGCTCCGTCGACGTTCAGAGATAAGGTTTCTTGCAGATACACCTTCAAGGTAGGTTGGTCCCTTATCTGCCAAGAACTTGATGGTGAAGAGAAGGGGTGATTTTGACGAGTATTGTGATGCTAATGTTTATAAGGGTAAAATTCATTGTAGGAACTCATGCTGCGTCAACCTTTTTTCTCAAATGACTTGATATAAGCAAATAAACCTTCAAGCGGGTTGGTTCTCCTCTGTGAAAAGCTTGATGGTGGAGAGGAATGCACAGACGATATATTACTGAAATTGCCTTCCACTTTATCCTCACAATGCCTTTCACTGTCATTCTATTTCTCAACTTTCTTCCTGGAAACTTACAATGCCTCTCACCTTCATTTACTGCCTCGCGTTCTTACATTGCCTCTTCCTCTCGATGGCTCTCCCAGTCGTTTACTTTCTTGGATTCCCTTTTACTGCTGTTTCCTTCTTCACATAGCCGCTCAATGTCCCGTTGCGTCATACAGCTTTTACTGTCGTTTCTTTCCTCGCTATGTCTCTTTTCTTTTCTCTTTCATGTTGCTTCTCCCTGCACCCCTTCCTCATATTGCCTCTCATTGTCCTTTCTTTCCATACTTTGTTTCCCATTGTTTTAATTCACCTTGTATTACTACCCACTATCCCCGATTTCCACCTCGCTTTGCCTCTCATTATCCTATATTTCCTCACATAGATTCTCAAAGTCTTTATTCCTTAATGTTGTCTCCCACTGGCGTTTCCTTTCTCAAACTGTATCTCGGTGTTGTATCTTTCTCCCTGTTCCTTCCTTCCTCGCACAGCCTCTTACTATTCTTTGCCTTCTCACTGTGCCTCTCACTGCCGCTCCTTTCATGCACTGGCTCTCACTGTCACCTTCTTCGCGGTGCCTCTGAACAGCGCCCCCTCCCTCCCTCAGAGCCCTAAGGGTACGACCCTCGCCCTCAGCTGCCCTTCCTTCAACCTCAGTGAACGAGGCTGCGGGCGCGAGCGGGTCATCGTCAGAGAGAAAAAGGCGTATGTCACATCTTTGTATTTGTCTCTTACATATTACTTAAAATGACACATTTTCACGAATTCGAGTTGATTTTTATTCAGTTACTCTTTGTCACTGATTTATATAAATGTGCTTACAATCTTCTATTTTAAAATATCTTCCCCACACCCGCTTTTCATTTTATCATTATCAAAGAAAGTCAAACACAAACTGAACACATTGGCAAATATCTTTTGATACTCCATAAGTAGCCCCTTATTCCAACGAGTATTTTCTCCTACAGTAAATATAAAAAGAAATTTTGCAAAACGAGCAATCCAGCGAAGGAGCGCAGCCAAACGACCTCCAACCATTTCACGATCACTCACAAGAGGAAGAAACTCAAGGATAAAGAGTGTGAGAGAGGATTCTGGTGTCAAGTGTCAGTTGTCAAAGGTAAGACAGATATTTACCTCCGCCAAGGTGGTTATGTTTTTGGCAGTGTTAGTTAGTTAGCAAGTTTGTTCGTTGATTAACAAGATAACTCAAAATGTTATGAATAGATTTTTATGAAATTATTACCTGAGATGTGTCTTAGCCTTTGATTGGTGGTGATCTGGATCATGATCCGGATCCAGTAATTTTTCAAATGATTTCATAGTGACCCCTATTGCCTTTGCAATGGATGTAATGTTTATGGGCATCAACAGTGTACTTGAGAAAGAGATTATTTTTATATAAGTCTTCCGGTGTAAATATTTTTATTGCATCAGTGACCCTATTGCCTTGGCGGAGGTATGCGCTCTCAGAGTGTTTCTAGTTTTTATTCTGAAATGAATACTGATACAACATTTGTCTAAGTTACCATTTCAGCTGAATAAGCTCTGTAGATGATCTATCCTCAGATAGTTTTTTCAACTGCAAATATATCTTGAGTTTAAGATTGACACAGAAGGGAGTCGCCATTGTTTCATCGAAAGACGTATAGTGATGCTTTCTTCCCTGTGCCACTAATGCTGCAACAAATCTATATAGTGTTATTTCTCTTTCCTCCCTGATTTTATTTGTCTATGCAGTACCACCAATAATAACAGAGTCATCTACTGCAGTGGAGCCAGGTGCAGAAACAATGTCTTTAAGTATGATAACAACATTAAGTATGACAGCAGTTCCACCTATAAATGATAAACCAACAACAGAACAACTTGTAACTGTGATACCAACTGTAGGGCAACTAGCGACTATCAATAAACCAACCACAGGGCAACCCACAACTGCCAAGCCCATTGAAGGGCAACCTGTAACTGCTAAGCCAACCATAGAGCAACCTGTAACTGCTAAGCCAACCGTAGAGCAACCCGTGACTAATAAGCCAACTGTAGGGCAACCTGTAACTGCTAAGCCAACCGTAGAGCAACCTATAACTGCTAAGCCAACCGTAGAGCAACCTGTAACTGCTAAGCCAACCGTAGAGCAACCCGTGACTAATAAGCCAACTGTAGGGCAACCTGCAACTGCTAAGCCAACCGTAGAGCAACCTATACTGCTGTAGAGCAACCTGTAACTGCTAAGCCAACCGTAGAGCAACCTGTAACTGCTAAGCCAACCGATGAGCAACCTGTGACTAATAAGCCAACTGCAGGGAAACCTGTAACTGCTAAGCCAACAGTAGAGCAACCTGTAACTGCTGAGCCAACAGTAGAGCAACCTGTAACTGCTGAGCCAACCGTAGACCAACCTGTGACTGAGAAGTCAACCACAGGGCCGCCTATTACTAATAAGCCACTAACAGGACAGGAATCAACTGCAACTGCATCACAGCCAACCATTAGTCAGACTCGCGGAGTTACAACAACAATCCCAATATCTCAAGGTACGATGACTGTCACTTTGTCATGAATGAGTGCAGCACAAACCACCTTGCACGTGAGTTTAAACTCCCTGAAATAATTAGCCTTAATTATTACAGTAGAAAAAACGGGGAACATTTGAAGCCTACAAAGCACAGTGACATTTGTCTTAATAAAAGACAAAGCATACCATGTTCTTCACTTGTGACGGTTTTTTTTGTTTTTGTTTTTTTTTAATAAACAAAAGGCATAAATGAATGTCTGTAGCACATAGCACCTTGTGTGTGGCTATTAACTCACAATAATATCTTTCAGAATCCAAAACTCAAACCACACCAATATATGTTTTACTTAATTATTATTTATCATTGATTTCTCCTTCCAGCGGTCTATCTGTTAAGGACCAATCAGGAAGCATCTGCTTTCAGACTTACCAGGCCATGCATCGATGTTGCTTGCATGATAGCAGTATATTAATTGCACTTAAGTGACTTGTTGCCACTATAATAGATATTTTCTCCAGCAGTCCTCTCACACGCCTCCAGGGATGTGTTGGGGAACCGCTGCACCTAAACAAATATATATGGGTACAGAGATGTCATATTAACTAACTATACACTATTTCCAGTTTCTTAATCAGGATATATATCTCCAAATGTAGATGCTGCCGTGAGAAAGCAGTGTTATACTTTTTTCTTTCTTTCTTTCTTGTTTTTACTTTGAACAGTATCAGCAACGATAAGAGAGTTGCCTACAACAGTGAAGCCAGTTACAGAATCAATTAATTTGACAACTACATCAACCACAGTGATGATGCCACCTTTGACAGATAAGTCAACCATAGACCAACTGGTTACTATTAAGCCAATCACAGGACAACCTACGACGGCAAATCTTAATACAGAGCAACCTGTTACTGTAACCCAAACGACTGGGCAATCTTTGACTGAAATGCCAATAACAGAGCAACCTGTAACTGATAAGGCACCCATAGGCCAGCCTACAACTGACAAGTCAACCAGCGGTGATCCAATAACTGTTAAATCAACCATAGAGGAAAATCTGACAAATAAGCCAACTGCAGGACAACCTGCAACTGATAAGCCAACCACAGAGCAGCCTGTCACCAAGGAGTCGTCGAAGCAGGCTGTGACGGTAAAGCCAACTCAAATGGATGAGCCAACCACAGGCTTACCGGCAACTCAACCGAATCAAGAGTCAACTGCAAACCCCCCGAGCGCGACAAATGCGACACAATCAGTTGCAGATGAGCAAGGTATGATGGCTGTCATCATAAAAGTCATGTACGAGTGTTTGCAGCACAAACCACCTTGCACGTGAGTCTAAACCCTAAATAATAGAAAATAGTCTAAACCCTAAATAATAGAAAATAAAGGAGGTTGATCTCTGTAAAAGTGATGCTTGTTTGTTCACTTGCAGAATATAATAACTATTGCATAATCAATCAGTAAATCATTGCAGCATTTATTATTTTTTACTTGTGTTTAATCCCACAGTAACTCTACTTACAATAACAGGCGAACAATTTAATGCTAGTGAGGCCTACATTATGCATACTTGCAGCCTCCAGAAGCCAGACTGAATCATTTTATATATTCTTTCATGATTTTACCCGTTATATCTCCCGCACATAACAATTTCCTTGATTTCCATTAACACACATACGCACATTTATCATTCATAATATACATATATATGTAATGGACAATTTGGTTAATCTTTATTCATAAATTGTGAGACCCACTCTTTTGATAGCCAGCTCTCTTGATACCTTAGTTTGTTCCAAAACCACAGCACTTGAGATTTATAAATACAAATGGAATTTAAAGTAGACGAACATGTAATGGAGTGCGTTTTCCTAGCAATGACATCTTGATTCTCTCTAAAATGTTGTGAATCAAATACATAAATGTTTGTTTCAAGCCGTCTGTTTTCTGAGTGAACAACGTATCCGATATTATATGCGCATCATAACCCTGCCCATAATCCTCAACCTATTTTATGAACAAAGATTGGTTCCATTTGGTTGTACTGCTGCAGAAGATGCATATTTACTCTAAAATCAACATAGGTCTCTATGTTGTTTTTTGTTTGTTATTTTGCTTCTCTTTTATACATTTTAATTAACATTCAACGTCACCGATATCACCAACAGCTACAATCTTGCAGCTATTGAACGTGCTACTTTAAATATTATATTAATCTGGTTATAAATTATTCACATTTATACTCTACTTTGTACTTTTAAACCCAGTTGAATTCCCTGAACTGAATGATTAACAGATATTATTTACATTTTAGTTATTCCTTTGTTGTAGGTGCATTCATACATTATGTCCTTATTATTGTTGTAACCTATACAATATATCCCAATTGCTCTCTTCAAGAAGAGACACGAATTTAATCGAAGTATCAAATACAAGTATAGAATTCCTGAATTCTGTCCGCTATGAAAAATGTGTACATTACACTGCTTTTAATGGCATACGGTAAGCCGCTGATGCAACCTTGCGTCCGGACTTATTTCAGTAGAGGCAATCACCTCAGCATAGTGATAGACAGCAGCAAAATTATTTTACGATCAATCAATTAAATATCTATTTGTTTCCCCACAGAACAACTGATTTTTTTTGACGACCAAGTTTTTTTTCGTGTTATGTATGTGTACTTTTCAACCAATTGGTTTTAGAGCTTAAAGTGCTTAATTAAGGTTCCCTTTTTAAATCATACATTTTAAAGTTTAAGTGTTATCCGCAACATAAAATGATTTGGAAAATAAATTCATTCTTTATAAACCTAAATATAATTTTGCACTATATTCACCCACAGCACGCTTTCACCAACTAAATATCCATCGTCACCACAGGCATACACCATTTTACACTTACGATTGTGCAGACATCATCGCCGACACAACGGTCCACCTCGCCGGAGACAACGTCGTCCTCATATGCATCAACTTCAAAACCGAATTCTTCGTCTTTAACCTCCAACAGGGCCGACATCGACAACAGAGCCACCACCGTCTATACAGTCTACAGTGTCAAAGGGAACATCAGCACAACCTTCTACACCGAAACAAACACAACCAGCAGCATCAACACTGACAAATTCACGGCCTCCAGTTTCGACACAGACATCTGTGCAGCCTCTGACACCGACACAGATATCAGTGCAACCTTCGCAGACATCGGCGCAGACATCAAAGTCGTCACAGCCCTCAACGCAGTCTGCAACTTCAACGAAACCACCAATGCAGACCACGATGTCGACGCAAAGTACGACGTCGAAACAGACACCAACGCAAACCACGACGTCGACACAGACACCAACGCAAACTACGACGTTGACACAGGACGACGTGACACAGACACCAACGCAAACCACGACGTCGACACAGACACCAACGCAAACTACGACGTCGACACAGACACCAACGCAAACCACGACGCCGATACAGACCTCCACGCAAACCACGACGTCGACGTCGATGCAACCTGCAACCTCATCCCAGACATCACCGCAGACTTCAACATCGACGCAGACCTCAGCCAGCACTACTGCAGCTGCAATTCAACCAAGATTCTTCTGTGGTAATACATGATTTTTTTCTTGTTTCTAACTTTTTAACCCTTGGGAATATTATCTTATTGTCACTGTTATTATCATTATAATGGGATGATACTGATGGCTGCTCCATTGGCTATGTAGGTAAAGGCAGATAAAAAAAAATTGTTTACTAATAGCTAACCATCAGTACTTAAGACTAAGATCTGCGTCAAGTCTGCAAAATCAAGATCTTGTAATATGAAAGATGTATGTATAATATTCTCAGTGTAACTGTAGTACCCTTAAGGATTATCATAGGGATCTGTTGAAGTACCTTTTCCCTTACAGTTAAACATGTCATCTAGCTGTCTACTTCAGCCTAGCTTTGTTCTCATTGTACGATTTTGAGACTGAAATTGATATCCATCTCCAATTTTCCGTGGCATAGTCCTGCCAACGCACAAGGTGAAAGCCAAAGTACCTCCTCCACGAATCCTGTCTACATGTCGTAATCCATGCTTTCTTTTCTTCAGTAACACAAGATGTCACACCGTATTTATAAATGCGTGTCATAAAAGAAGCCGATGGTTATTTTTTGCAATTTGTAGGCTGCGCCATTAACAGGGTCCGTGCGGAGAACCTAATGGAAGATTGCATGACCCACTTGACACGATTTCCAAGACCTGAGAGCTGCCTTTACCTTTCCTACTCCTGTGTCGATTTTTCCACGAATGTCACTTCCGCTGGCCATGGTCGAGAGAAACACGTGAAAGACTTTAGATGTGAATGAGGGGCTGTTGACAATGCGCGGTGATGCTGTGTGACCGAAAGTGATAGATGATTAAATTCCAACAAAAGAAAAGAAAGATGGTGATGAAAATTGTTATGAACCAATATTTGTATGATGATTCAAATCTCATAGCCAACTATTTCGAAGCCACATATATTTCCAAAAAACATTTTCGATCTCTAACATTTTCTTTTGCACACGTATAAGCACAACATGATACCCCCGTAACACACATGACCACACACTCGAACAGTCTCTCCAAGACATTTCCTGATGCCCGCAGAGAACTGTGGGTCGGTCCCTTCCGCCTCGGGAGCGCGGATCGTTGGCGGGCAGGACGTCTCGGTCGGGGAATACCCTTGGATGGCGCTCGTCTACGTGAGTCGCAGCAGCGGGAAAGTCTCGATCTGTGGCGCCTCTCTCATCAAGTCTCGGTGGCTCTTGTCTGCGTCTCACTGCTTCTATAAAATTGTGTAAGCTTCTCTGTTTAAATTATTTGGCTTCATTTATTTGGGTTGACAAACACTTAACCTGCTCTTATAGTTATATGTTACATCAAGCCTTCTTGCACATCGCCTTCTACCACATTTCGTGGTATCCAAATGCATGCTCCCGTGATGCCCACATGGAGCATGGTTATCTCTCTCTCTCTCTCTCTCTCTCTCTCTCTCTCTCTCTCTCTCTCTCTCTCTCTCTCTCTCTCTCTCTCTCTCTCTCTCTCTCTCTCTCTCTCTTTATGCCTTTTTTATCCTGAAAGGAAATGCGAGCATATCTTAGCCATTCATCAGTTTTCATAAATCATTTTCATTGTTGTTTGTCAAATTATGCTGATCTCTGTTCAGCCATAAGATTGATAAATCCATAACTTTCATTTACACACTTGTACATTTGAATAGCGACCGGGCTTTTACAATTTTATATCCAATGCCCAGCATCATCTAAATGCATTTGAAGTCTAACCCTCAGAGCTTCATTTAATCTACTGCATATGCTATTATCCTGCATCATGGGCTCTTTGACCTTCCTTTGTAGCCTCCTTCTTGCCTTTTGCGCGGCCTGCCTACCTCACTTGTAAAGCAGCTTGCTTCAATACATGTATGATTCTTGTTTAGCTGCCTTAATATCGCCTGAATTTGCTTTGATTATATCTCATCTCATCCCTCCACATGAATTTCACACAGAGCGAAAAAACGTGTCACGGTTTTCGTCTTCCTTCAGACAGAACATTACGTTTCTCAAGTGCC